CTTGAAGGCTAAGAGCAAGATTGTCAAAATACATGGATCGATCATACTAAACCAGAGGGTGGAGGAGTGATGCAGCCTGATGGAGCTCAATGGATTCATTGAGGTCAGATAGGACACCCCACTGCTGTAATCTGTCTCGAAGGCTGTCGGTAAGATTGTTCATAAATGAGGATAAATAGGAGTGAGTAGGGAGAAAGTGAAGTAATGCATCCCAATGAAGTTCAATGGCCTCATTGAGGTCAGACGGGTCACCCCGGTGCTTGAATCTCTCGTGCAGGCTGTTGGCAAAATTTTTGAGAGATAAGGATTAGAGAAAATCACCAGGAGTAGCGTATCCCGAAGGATCTCAAGAGCCTCATCAAGGTCAAACGAGGCTCCTCGTTGCTGGAATCTAGTTTGAAAGCTGTTGCAAAACTGTTGAGAGACTTGGGTCGATCAGGATGACCAGGGGGGGAGGAATAATGAAACCCAGTGGAGTTCAATGGCTCATATGGGATGCATCACTGCTCAAATCTATCTCGAAGGCTGACGGCAAGACTATCGAAAGCAATGGATCAATGAGAATGGCCGGTGGGAATGGGGAGTGATGCGGCCCGATAGAGCTCAGTGGCCTCACCAATGTCAGACAGGGAGCCTCACTGCTTACTTCTGTTGTGAAGGGCTATAGAAAGATTGTAGAGACACTCTGATCCACGATAGTGACTGGGGGGACGGAGCTGCAGACTCGCAAGTGTCCTGTTGTCTTACTGCCCTGGACAACGACTGTCTCATTTTACTGCAAATGGTTTTGGAATGAGTGCGAAATCGAATCAATCAGAGTGAATACACACGCAAAAAGTAGAATTCAACTAATAGGACACTGACACATGCCTGGGAGGGAAGTAAGATGGTCGGTTTCGAGGTAGCCCAAGCCTTTAACAGCAAGCCACAAGATCACGTTGAGGCTGAGGCAGTGTCTGGACTCTGCATGAGGTCGAGGCCTTCAGGCCTGATGCCCAGTGAGAAATGGTCCTAGCCATATCTCCGGAAAACGACGGAAATATTGTGACAATATTCATGTCGATTTCTGGAGAAAAATGAGACTTATAGTCGATGTTTAGTGACTCGCATCGAGCGAGATATCGTGTCATCGAGTGTGTTTGTGTAGCGTATATTCCAATATATTCCCGTAGTTCCCAATTGATATGCACATCAATGCAAATATAGCGAAATCAATTGTATTCTTGAGGCCGAAACATTACAAAAGCAATAACGACGATGCACCCCCCACGCCCATCCAACCCATGCCCTGCTCGTACACTGAATGCTCTAGTGTATTGGTCCTCCAATGAACTTGTTAATTGTACTGGCAGTATTCCCGGTCCACGTCCCATCTTTGACCTAAATAAATCATTAGTGCATGCTTGCCATGGGAAGTACGGTACTTACAAGTGCCGCTGTTACGATGATAGTCGTGTGTGGACTGGGATAATCTAACAGCGACGATCACGACAGTGATACCTCGTGCTGAGAGTCCAAGGTCGGCTCCTACAGACAAGCAGGAGTTGCATATGCTTGCGGAGGCGAGCGATGATAGCAGTTACAGGCAGAAGGGGTCTCAAGTCCTTCTGAAGGTCTGGGTCAAATGTCGAGCAAGTAGCTTTAGCAGGACAAGAGGTTCAAGGTAAAACCCAGTAAGATTAAAGTAAGGAACATCTACTTTAATCTATCGACCTTATATAAGGCTACTCTATCATATCTAAGCTCAGCTTGAAGCTGGGTTTTAAGTGCTTATCTATCGAGTCAGAGATACCATGCATGAGGCAGGCTTCTATCTAAGATAAGGACTGCGAGGTGTCCTTCTATCAGTACATGAGGCAATCATGAGGCTTGCCTTCTATCTTGCTAACATAAATAGGTCTTCTAGACCTATGTCATCATAATCATGTAAGCGATCCAGACCGCTTATCTAATCCAGCATCTTCTGGGCTTCTCTTCTAATCTTCATTAGTCATCAAGACCTAAAGATTCGGGTATTGTGTCATTGCCGTGCAAGGTGGCAGAGGGCATATCTGTAGCTGGGGGCTCACATCATGTTACTGTAACAGCCGCAGCCTCTCGTTCATAGTTCTGGGGCAGTCGTGTCAGCCAGTAAGGTACCATAGAACATATGAAACGAAACTTACCAGTTGACTGTCTTTTGACAGTGCGTTCCAGTACAGTTTAAAGTCGCCAGATGTGCCATTCGGGGCAATGATCTTGAGCCAGCGATGTGTGCAGAGGTTTCTAGATGGTGGCATGAAACAATCAGTGAGCATATCAAGGATACAATTGGACACTGTACCTTCCATTTTTTGTTGCAGTTGGCCGAAATTTCTTAGTTGTCATCGTCTCAGAACTGTTGTCCATTGTACCAGCGACGGACCCTGGTGTTGGTAAGATGGCATCCTTGGCTATGGGAGCCATCAATAACTCGGTTGGTGTGGTTGGACCAGGGTCCGAATTCGTGGAAGGTGCAAGAACTGGAGACACCGAGGGATTGGGTTTCTTGGATAACATGAGTTTTGCGCTATATAGAATAGATTCAACAATATACCAGACACAAAAATCTACAAGGACTCACAGCAGATTCTTTATCTGTGGAAGATGGCTAACAGTCAGATCAGGTGCTGCCGGTGTCATTGAGTCTGGCACATGTTCGGACCTGGACTCAGACGGAGGATGGCTTGAATCTGTCGGACTTGTCAGTAGGGTGGTGGCCATGGTCGTGCTGACAATCGGATCAGGTGTTGCCAGCGGTGTTATTGAGTCTGGGACACGTTCAGACCCGGGCTTGGACAGAGGATGGCCTGAATCTGTCAGACTTGTTGGTAAGGTGGTGGCCATGGTCGTGCTGACAATTGGATTAGGTGTTGCCAGCAGTGTCATTGAGTCTGGGACACATTTGGACCTGGGCTTGGACAGAGGATGGCCTGAAGCTATTGGACTTGTCAGTAGGGTGGCGCCCATGGTCATGCTGACAGTTAGATCAGGTGTTGCCAGCAGTGTCATCAAGTCTGGCACATGTTCAGACCCAGATTTGGATAGAGAATGGCCTGAAGCTATCGGAATTGTTGGTAGGGTGGTGGCCATGGTCATGCTGACAGTTGGATCAGGTGCTGCCAGTGGTGTCATCGATGCTTCATCAACCTTTGGCTGTTTCGCTGGGTGATCGGGCTCGTTGGAGGGGGTTGGGGAGCTCAGGTCAGCAGGTGGCTCCGAATCAGATGGTGTATTACTGAGTTTTGTAATTTTTCGCTTGGTACCAGAGGACTACAATGATAGTATGATCCCAACCAAGTTAGTAGAGCAAACCAATGAAAAGGCTGAAATAGTACCACTGCGATGGCATCTGAAGACTTCTTCCTCTTCTTGATGTGTGTTGACGCCCATGAGGGATAATGTTCAGTAGCAATAGCCTGGACCTTCCATCCATTGCTACAAAGTGCCAGAACTGGGTGATGCCTCGTCATCTCATCTATAACATTGTCCAATACATCGGTCCCTGCATGACCCCATGTGTCAGGAGCACAGTTGTTGTTGAGCAGCATGTGCCAGACATTTCGCAATGTCTTGAGGATGTTCGATACTTCGGCTTTCACAATGAGTTTGCCATCCGTGTCTTCAAGGAATGGGAATGGGAAAGCAGCACGATTCTCATGGACCCATTGAGATGCGGGGGTTTTCGTCCATTTGGTATACATGTCTTCAGTCCAAAATCGAGTCTTTGGGTAGTCTTTCCAGTCGAGTGGCTGGAGCCGTGATTTCATACCGGGAATGGTGCAAGAAGGTTTGGATTTGAGATCGCTGTTGATAGTTAGCCCTGTAAAAGATGAAATGGCCGGAACTTCCGAGGAAATCGATGCGGCAAGGGTGTTGAAGGCTGCTCTGCAGAATCAATCAGTAAAAACAAGCATATACTCACATAAATCATGTTTCTATACTCATAAGTGTCATGTGTAGCAGAGAGGGAGCTGTTTTCGACCTTCAAGCACTGTATCTCATATTCTAAGGATTGTATACGATGATTCAAGTGCATATATGCACTCTATTACAATAATTCAGCAAACAGTAGACATAGACAATAGTACTGACCGAGCTGCCGGAGGGATCATTCCATGAGTGATGGTCTGTTGAGTGGTGATCATGATCTGAATAATTTGGTGCTTTGCTGGATCCACTAGGAATCGAGGAATTCTGAAAACGAGGAGTCTGATGCTGCTGGAAATAAGGATCATCATGCTGAAAAGGGCTTGAAAAGGAATAATCTGTAGACATGGTGGACGTTCGAGGAAGAGATATATATGATGCAATAGCCTTGACTTAGTGTTACCAGAATGTGATTTTAAAACTCAGCGCTTCAGCATACGTGCCTAATTCAAATCTTCAGCAGCGCGTCTAAACTGCATATAACTTCAGGGACATACACATCTTTCACGCGTCTTCTACTAATATATCTACTGGCATGGCAGCAGCACCAGTCGACTTTCTTGGTGAGTGCCTATATTTATATATTCTATCACTGTTTAATAAACCAATTTTACTTGCAGGTGCTGCTCGGCACTCTCACTCTCCTAGTCCCACTGATGAAGATCTGTTCGACGAAGCCATTGCAGGTCTGGCAGACTTCGATATGGATGGTGAACAGGCCAAAACCCCTATGGACAACAATGAAAAGGGTAGTAGGTCCCACACGACCAAGTTCGAAGGAGTACTAGGCAAGTGTCCTCGTGGAACATCTGACAGTGACCACAATGCCAATGGGCGAGTTCACAAAACTGTCAAAATCCAGGCAAGTACTAGTCGCAAACCGTCAGCATCCCCTGAGCACTGCATAGTATTTATTTGTCTTACCTTTTTTTCTGTAGGATTCATGCAAAGGCCAGTGATTTTCAAGTTGAGGAGGACAAGTAGTAGAAGATCATCGTGACACATTGCCATGCAAAGTACTCAAAAAATACATGCCATTTTCATTTTTATTGTTAATCATCCTGTTCCTCTTGATCATCCTCTTCGACCTCAACTCCTGTTAGTGTGACATCAAGCCCAGTCTTCTCAACCATGAAATACCTATCTTCCATGATGCCAGATGGTAAAGTGGGACAATGGGGAATCATTGCAACAACAGCGGTGATGGTTTGGACATCAATAAGTTGGAGATTTTTGTCACCATCATGTGTACATGACCACACGGTTCCATGTGATAAGTCAAGGAGCTGCTGGTCAGGGCGAGAATAAACAGATACCATAGCAACATTGGCCCATGTGAGTTTGGGTATCTTGTTATCATGGTTGAATCCTTCTTCATCATCATCATCATCATCGTCCTCGTCCTCGTTGGCAACAGCTTGAACAGCTAATTGTGTGAAGTACAAGACTTCAGCAAACTCATCAACATTGTTGCGACGGAACTATGAGTGCAATAAGTTCATGTGACTGTGAATCAATTCATGATAGATTTACCTTGAAATTGCGTGAAATTCGTATATACTCAGCAGATGACTCGTTTTCTTTCCATGCCGAACGAGCAATCTGACCATGTGGGAGGCGGAGTCGTGACCAGCATCTGATCAGAGGTGCAGGACGCCCAAGGAAATTTGAGATGATGGCGGCTTCAGCAGCATGCATATGTATAGGTTTCCGGTCGCGCACTCGCAGAAGTACATAACCATTGCCAACATCAAAAGATCCCCGGGGATGCAGCGTGTTGTGAGTGTCAAATTGTGGGAGCATCACCTTCAGAGCATTAACTCAACACCTCATTACACATATCTCCGTGAAGTTTGACATAGTGTTGGAGGGTTGACGCAAGTCAAATTCAATGTCACCAATAGTTCACTTGAGAGTCCATTGAGATGAACAACATGGAGTGCCAACACGAGTCCCCTCTGCAGCTAGATGGTTTGCAAGATGAACACAGAGACGAACAAAGTGAATTTGGTCGACACAGCGCTGATAGTAGATTCTCTCAAATTCCTCCTCCCACTCAGCAAAGCAAATACAAGCTTCTAGCATCTCTGCAGTCGTAATACGATACTGGCTCATGATGCAAAGGCCTCGTACAAACTTGCAGTAGTGTTGGAAGTACCTGGGAGGAAGGATACCGTAGAGCAGCCCAGGGCCAATACCGAAAAGCCAAGTGATAAACTCGCATGCTTTGTAGAATGAATGCATTTTCTTGGCAGGATTTCGAGAGGGGACATCAAAAGAACCAGGTAGATGCGTGTGAGTAGCCGTGACAGCTTTTCCATGAGCTTCCCATGTATCATGAACAAGAACGGCCCAGTCCCAGTCTGCAATGGAATCTGTAACAGCATGGCAGTCCGCAACACCACACCAAAGATCCGTAAAAAGCGATGCCATGTTAGCACCTGAAAAGTGCATGATCTCGGAGGAAAAGCACTCAGGGATACCAAGAATATGGTCAACGTCGAGTCCAAGGAGAATGCTGGGTCCCACAATCCCAGTTGTTAAGCGGTTCCGTTTGTACTGTGCTTGATTTTGGGATGCCATGAGGATGCGCAGGTTCTCAGTGTAAATTGCAGAGGTACCGCCAGTAAGATCACGAACATCAATATCATTGTGTGTGCAGCCAGCGACAGTATAATTGTCTGGCTTCAATAGGACAGAGTAATATTGAGATGCGTGTGGCTTTCAGCATCCTTGGAGACCACAGTACATTTGGCAGCCGTTCTTGCCTATGTGGCCAACAAGGCTACTCATGCAGATCAGGCCGGGCCCATCTGCAAGGGCTAGAAAAAGGAAAGGATGTGATATGAACACTATGTCGCGCCGAGCATCCCAAATAGACAGACCCTCTCTCTGAATTGCGGCAAGATGGTGAAAGCCTGGGTATAAGAATGACTGAATATACTTGGGCTTATTTGGACCGGGGATAACACCTCCTGGAAGAACATGTTGTTTCTTGTAGTGACGGTCGGGGGAGTGATCAATGATAATCCATATGTAGACCCAACAGTCTGACATTTTGCTTTCGAAGAGTTGAGCGCCGTCGATGGAGATCATAAGTACCATGTCTTCTGGTTTGATTCTACCCTGCCTGACTGCATCAAGGTACGCACTCCTGGTGAGAATGTCCTTGTAAGCATCAACATAGCCCTCGTTCCGTCTGATCTCCTCAAATATTTGCTGCATTCTCTCATTTCTATAGCTCATGTGTTGAGCACTGCCTCGTTCACGCCACAACGCCTGAAGCTGGGGACCAATTGGGATTGTTTGGAAAACAGCGCAAGGGACTTTCTTGCGTCCATGACTGCGTGCCAGCTTTTTTTGGTCATAATGCAGTTCGTCACACATGGGACATGCATCTAGACCTGCATAAGGGCCGACGAACGCTACACAAGAGTTGATACAGTGGTGGTCGACGATGGAGGAGATACCCGTAAGCTCATGAATAAGCTTTTTGACTCGGTATAGACTTGGAACCTCTGAGTCAGGGTAGCACTTTTGAACAGCACTGTGAATATGGTCATACACTGCTTCAGATGAGTGTTGGAGGGCTAAGAAGAGTGAGATTGCAAGTTCTTCGCATGGATTATCAATACAACATGGAAACCTAGGTGAGTCCTGCAAGCGCACAAGATCCTCTCCTTTCAAGCCAACCCCATCATCGAGTGTTGCTCTCCATAGTGAGCATATGAAGGACATGTCATGTTGGAGGTTAGGAATACGAGCAGATCGAAAGAGATCATCAACATCGACATCATTGAGTGGATTGCGCCAGGGTATGTCCTCCATGTCATGGGGAATATCTGGAGGCGCCGGCAGTGGGAGCTGCGGAAAATTTTCTGGAGGCTCCCCAAGTAGAATATTGGGTGCGTTTTGAGGATGGTCATCAGGGGGGATATCAGGAGGGTTGTATGGAAGGTCGTATAGAGGTTCATGCATTGCACCAATGGCATAGTCATCAGCATCCTCAATGTCAGCTAACGGTGGTTCTTCTAAAAAAATGATTGTCAGTCAATGATTCAAAGAGCATAAACACTATTCTTACCATGGCGCTCAGTGCCGTCTGCTTCACGAACACGTTTCTGAGGCCATTCTTCATCAGAATCATTGTCCCACTTTGACGAGGGACCTGCAAGGGTAGTAACACTAGCCGTCTTGAAGGTATCTGACAGACTGGCTGCTCAGATTGTGGCCCTTTCATTGTCGTTGGGAGCATGCTGTAAATGTCGGAACCATGTAGCCTGAGAACCAAGCTTCATCCGAACCCCATGACAGTAGTACTGGCATATGCACCAATGTTCTTTGGGCTCTGGCATGTATGAAAAGTTCGAACCAAAAATGTTTGATGTGTCATTGTAACCGAACGTTGCACAATGTGCAGTGATCTCGATCAGTAAGTGTTACAATGAGCAGATCGAACACGTTTACTCAGCGCATTGATGCGTATTTGAAACCTATTTGATAATTGATTGAGCGTTGTTGACACATTGTTTACATTTATCGATTTGCATAGTTATTACAATATTCCTGGTATATATTTTATATCATCGTCGTTTGCCGTAGATATGGCTAGGACCGATTTTCACTGGGTCTGATGCATGATGGGGCTTTACTATCCCTTCCACTGCAATCGGCACCCCACAGAAGTCGGCAGTCACGCTTTTTCGCAGGGTTTGGTGTGACGGAATGTGACTACTTGTAACAAAAGCGTAACGTTTTCCTGCCAAAATGTGTGACCTGCCGACTTCCCTGGGGTGCCGATTGCACCGGAAGGGATAGTATGGAAGGATGTGAAAGATGTATTTGCCATCAGTCACGTGTGGCAAAATGAGCTGGTTCTTTCTTGGGTCCGAACTTCGTGCTTGCTCAATGAGTCTACGCATTCAATTAATGTCGCATAGGGTCGGGTGGACCACGGTTGAACGTTGATTTCTGTGCCGTCACGGTACTGGGCAATGAAAACTCGACTTCCGCTATTCTGACGCCCATCGAGTTCTGAGGAGGATCTAAATTCAACAATGCAAGATCTCATTCATCGTGTTTGGGGTGTGTACCATACTACCACCGGAGTCTCTCCTATGATGATGCAATTGCCAGGACCCTTCCAGACCCTCATGTCTCCTGCCAGCTCCTGTCGGATGACAAGCTGCTGACTGTACCCTTCTGCACATCTTTCAAAGCTTTCAAGAATAAGTATACGTGCGCCTTATATCACCGCCATTTCGTTTGAGTTGATTATCTACACAGGCTGTGTCCAAGTTTTATTGTCGCAGAGTCGCAGCATTGGTGCAGCATTTTTTTAGTGTCCAGGTGGCTTTCAAAGCTTCACCTCGAATGTGTTGGACAACTGACGACGTATAGCTTTATACTTAACGCGTCACTATAATCCCGAGTTTGTGACAGCCGCTAGAAGTAAGGCTGCCTTCCCTCCTATCTTTCCGTGCTGCTCGCCTATGAGTGAGATGTCGACGTCCCCAACGTCCCCAACCTCGAACGAAAAACCTGATACCGCAGTAAAGAACCCGCATGATGTTCACCGTCAAAGGTCAAATATGGACGCAAGGACAAGAGCCATCGCGTACGTATGAGATCGCCCTTGTGTCAGGCGCCTACAACTGACGCAATTTTTTCTGTTAGTAATGCCAATGCCAAATTGTCAAACCCCTTGAGCGGCATACCTTATGATCGTTTAATGGCGGATGTCGAAATTTTTGCCGAAGAGAGAGGACTGACCCATCTGCTGCCTGAGCTTGAGAAAGGGGCCCTTGTTGCCCAGGATTCCACTTGTATGTCATCACGGGAAACATTTTCCTAGCTGACTTGAGATCCTTCATGTGCAGGTTATGATCGTTTAGACATATTTTCAGCTGAAGACAAGCGAATTTTAAAGGAAGAGGTTACGCACAGGTGGCGCCAAACGCCCATGCTGTACTACGTTGGTATCACTATATTTTCGACTATTCGCCATGGCTCATCATTGAAATAGATGGTCGTAATGTCATCACTTGCAGCGGCTGTTCAGGGAATGGACGAGGCTGTTATCAATGGTGCTCAAATCCTTTATCCCACACAGTTCGGCATCGGTAGTTCCAACAGTGCGTAAAAGCTCTTCTATCATTCTGATGATCATCACTAATAGATTGTGTGTGCAGACCGCGATTCATGGTTGGTCGGTCTCATCAACTCTGCACCGTACTTGTGTGTGCTTTGTTCGTATAGTAGAATATCGCTCCTCATCGCTTCACAGATGCTGTGCCACAATTTCTTGTTGGATGACGCAACCGCTCAACCACTATCTTGGGCGTAAAAAGACCATTTTCGTCACTTGCATGATCTCGTTCTTGACATGTATCTGGTCTGCATTGACAAACAGCTGGTGGCACCTTTTCATCGCACGATTCTTCCTTGGTTTTGGTATTGGTCCCAAATCTACCACTGTCCCAGTGTATACCGCCGAGTGTTCACCTGCACCAATACGTGGCGCTCTCGTCATGATGTGGCAGATGTGGACCGCTTTCGGTATTGCTCTAGGAGACCTTATCGACTTGGTATTCTACTTCATTCCAGACGCTCCGGGTGTGACTGGTCTGAACTGGCGTCTCATGCTAGGTTCTGCTGGCGTCCCCGGTCTTGTTGTCTGCTTGCAAATCTTATTTGCC